GGCGAGGCCGAGCGGGCACCGGCGCAGGGCAAGGAGGGGGCTTCTGCAGTGGCAAGAGACCCCGGGGCGGGGGGACAAGCTGCCGGGAAGCGTGGGGTGCGCTTGGGGGGCCGCGGGCTGCGCCTGCCCGTGCGACGGCCGCCGGGGAGCGGGAGCAGCGGCACGAATGAGATGCAGGAAGGAGCCCGGCGAGAGGACGGAGCAGCGGGGCTGGCTCTCAGCTGGCGGGTGAGCGCCTTCAGCAGAAGCCAGCTCCAAAGCTAAGGGAAGTGACTGTCCCCAGGCTCTCGGCCGAGGTGCAAGAGCCTGGCCCTCGAGGGCCGTGACCCCCCTGGGTCTGCGGCTCAGGGGCTGGCTGTTCCAGGGGAGTGTTGGAGAGGGGCCGGAGGAAGCCCTCATCCCCCAGCCCGGAGCTCACCGTCACAGTGATACAGACTCAGCAAAACCAAAGGAAACATTACAAATTAAATACTAATTAAATAAATACTATGGAAGACGTTGGGAGGGGGAGGGCAAACAGAGAGGCGCAGTTCCATGGGGTCAGGCGGGGAGGGGCAGCAGCACCCACCACCCCTCGCTTCGGTGGAGCCGGAGCCGCCGCTGCCCCACGAGCTCCGGCTCACGCAGCCCCGTGGAGAGGGCTTCAGCGCCCGCCGTAGCTGGATGGGGCTGACGGCTGCAACCGCTGCTGCTCGCCGCCAAGGGACCCTGGGAAGTCCTTGGAGGCAAGGGCCCTCTCTCCCCAGCTGGAGGAGACCCTGAGGAGAGGAGGGCTGGCTGGCCAAAGACTCGGGTCCCTGCTGCTGGCGCTGAGAGGGCTGCTTCCCGTTGGTCCTTATTATTGCCTCGTGATGCAGGGAGCCATCTGTCCCCGTCAGCTGCTCCAGGCCTGGTACTCCACCGCCGAACCCAGCAGCTGCAGCAGCTCGGGCTCGTAGTGCACCAGCTCCACTGTCTCTGCAGCGCCCTGCGCCGGCTCGGGGCTCTCCTGCACCTCCTCCTGCGCCAGCACCTGGCTGAGAGAGACCTGGCGCTGGAACTCCGCCTTGGGCAGCGTGGCAATCTCCAAGTGCGGGAAGCGGGCCTGGAATATGCGGGAGGACAGCTTCAGCCGCTTGAGCACGTCGGAGAAGAGGAACCAGTTGCAGGGCCTGCGAGGACGGCAAGAGGATGGCGGGTTAGGGGCGGAGGGGTCCGCAGGCACGTCACCCACCTCACCGCCTCCCAGCTGCCGGCACGCTGGCCCTCCCCTCGACGCAGCGCTGCCGGTGAGGTCCGGGCACTATTCTCCACGTGGTCCTCCTCTGCAGGGTCTGGACAGACCACGCGTACGGGACCTCGGCTCACAGACGCGCCTGGGTTTGACGATTGCTGCTTTGCAGGTCACATCTTTTTAAAGCACGCAAAGCAAGACAGGGACATTGGTGTGAAAGTTACGCCTTAAAAGGTGTCCCGGCAGCATCCCCACCCAGCGATAAGCCACACCAGAGGCTCCATTTCCCGCCCGGCCATTTCTCCTGGGCGCTGTACGTGTCCCTCTGGATGGGCAGAAATTGGCAGGCTCGGAAATTCGCTAAACAGAAAAGTAGCACTTTTGTTGCTGCCTCTTCCAAGTCGCCTTTCTCCCCCCCCTGCAGTCCAAGCAAATGCAATAGCCACGGTGTCACAGGAGGTGGAGAAGGGAGGACTGCTCCAGTGCTGTGACCCGATTTAGCCTTCCCCATGGTGGAGGGGAAACAATCTACTCAGACCCAGCAATGCAAGCTGCTGCTGACCATCGCTGGAGAAAAATGGGGCTAGGAGCAACAACAGAGGGAGAAGAGAGGGAGGCTTCCTGACAGGCACGGCACAGGGACACCGCACAGCAGCAGAACGCGTCTGGCCGTGCAGCGGGATTGCACGGGGAGACCCCTGACTACACCCTCCTGCTCACTGAGGACGGACGGGTCTGTCCCAAGCGGTGCAGCGGTGCTTCCCCTGCCGTCGCACAGCCAGAGCTCTGCAGGAACACGAGGAGCGGGACCCCGAGAGCCGCACATCTCCAGACACTGACTGTGTTCCTGCAAGGCCCTGCCTTCGACCCAGTATCTCTAATCCTGATTTGAAGGAAAATAATCACCTAAGATACACACAAGCTGCTCTTAACCTCAAGGAGCTGAAGTGACTGACATGCTGCCGTCTGTGACTGGGATGCTGGGGCTGTGACCACCCGTGGTACAGAACAGCAGGCACCGGACAGCCAACACAAAAACAAATATCTTTTTGGCTTTACCTGTGCTGCTTCTCAGTTTTGTTTTAAAACAAAGTCCTTTCTTAAACCAAAGGGGTCTTTCCTTGCTTGGTTCCCCCATGTATAGGTCTCCGTCACCTGTAGTCCCTCAGTCTTTCTCCTCTTTTCATTAACTCCGGGGCACAAGACAAAGGAAACAGGGACTGAAGGACTTCACAGGCTTTGTGCTGTGCCAGCCAGCCAACGAATCCCAGGCTGGGACTTCTCTAAGCACATCTACACCGCAGGAGTGCCCATCTCAGTGCCCCCCCAGCTTCCTCCACAGTCACTGGAGAGCTGATCGGTTGCACCCAGCGGTTCATCTCAGCCTGACATTCGCCTGCCCTCGTCTGGATAAATCCTGCTGTCAAGTCTTTCCTGACTGCAACAAGAGACCAAGGTGACCACCTCAGAGGTGGACTTCTGAGAATCAGTCAAACAAATTCCATCTTACCCCGCATCTTCCACTTGCTTCTCTGACTTGGGGCTTACAAAGTGTGGTTTCTACACTCACATTTTCTGAAAAAGAGACTATCCAATGCTTCATCATGAGATGGTGTATGATGGGGAGCGTGCCACAAGAGGCATGTTACTGCCTCAGCAGCAGCAATTTGCTCCTCCTGGGGAAGCTGCAATAGCTCCATTCCTCCGTGTCTCTACCTGCAGAACAGGGATAAAGGTATCTACTCCTTTGGAGGAGTGCTTTGAGACCTACAGGACACAAGCGCAACTCTATATGGCCTGTCTCCTTAGCACGCAGTCAGCTTGGGCTCTCAAAGTTTCTCAGGCAGGCATGAATTTTCCATAAATGAAGATTTCATGTTATCCCTCACCTGGAGGACAGCCTAAGGCTTTCTTGTACTGCTGCTATCCTCACGAGCTCAAGGGTTCTGTTCTGTGAGCGCCCCCTCCACCCCAGCATTAATGTCACCCAAATGCTCTCTGCTCCAGAAAAAGACACTCACCCCCGAGAGACTGACACTTGGAGGTTATAGCTGGGAAGCAGTGGCTTGTCTGAGAACTCAAACATGAAGTTGTCTGCTTCTTGCTCCTCTTCCTCCTGGTCTGAACTTCCTGGAGGGTTGAGCAGAAGATCGCATCCAATGCTGTCTTTCCCCTCTGCAACAAGCAAAACAGACGTTGGCATTGCTCGCAGTTTCACACCAGCCAGTGCTCATCCCTCCCTGGGGAACAGCTCTGCCCGGCTGGACCAGCTGCCACCGCAATCTCGTGTGCACCTTCCCACAACGTCACAGCAACTTCAAGAGCCCAGTCCCAGGGGCTCCTCCTGCTCTCCTTCCAGCCCCTCGTCTCAGAGAAACTCTGAGTGAGCGCCGGCTGCGCTGCACAGCGAGACTCCACCCGGTGACCGGGTCAGGTAGAAAGAACATCTTATGTCATAGCAGCAACCTTCAAGTTTACACTGATCCCGCACGTGAGACGAGGCACTGCCTGCTTGCAGAATGAGCCACTTCGACTGGCAATCTTTTCTTGGGTCAACCACACGCTGATCCCCAGACTCTCCCTGAAACAGCCTCAGCCCCCTCCCCTTTGCCGGCACAGCTGTCCTCAGCCTGGAAGAACCTGCGCCGGAGAGGAAGGAGGTGGATGTACGGGATGCTTTGTCTGCACAGATCCTATAAAGGAAGGCACTGCGCTCTGCTCGTTGAGTACTTCTCCACCCAGATCCCACTCTCGACAACTGTCAGCAGGTTACCTAGAGGTGCGTGCCAGCAGCTGTGTCTAAATAAGGACTGCAACGCTGTGCCACCAAACTGTGCGGCAGATCTAGAGGCTAATACAACCAAACGATAAGCATGACTTCAGAGAATCCGCCCCACAGATTTCTGGCTTAAAGCTGGCTGTTCCAGGAGGTATCTGAGCTCCAGCAGGATTTGCTTCCACAGGAGATGGAACACACTTGATCCATAAACCATTTAAGGACAGTTAAATTTACTATTCACCTATCTGAAAAGCACCTGTTGAAAAACAGCTTGCTGCCTGGATTTTATTATTAAGAGGCATGAATAGTCTTGGGTTTGCAGAGTGGTTTTGTCCTGATGAGATAATACAGTATAACTCCAAAAACTTCCAGAAAATAGAGTTTAGATTCTACAGAGAGAAGTCAGACCAAATGTGCTGGTGAGCAAATAAACCAATCATGCAAAAGTTCAACACCACGCACGACAGAAAAGTCTGCAAAAAAATCTTATGGTGTGCTGCATGAGAAAGCTCCACGCACCATACTGCTCTACGAATAAACGCAGCACCCAGCAAGAATGTTATTTTAATAGAGAAACAACAGCAGATGACAGGAGACATGGGCTCAAACAAGGTCTCAAGAAAAAAAAAGAAATAATTTCTTAGTCCTGGCAAGGAAAAAAAAAATCCCTAAGAAACAGAAAAACAGAGTGCTTAAATCTTCAAAACTTATTGTAGAATAGGACAAAAATAAGTGACATGAATATTGGTCTGATATCACTGCTAGGCAAAGCTCAGATGCCATCACTGAAAAAACTCAAATTTCTTGAGCAACCCAGGAAAAAAGAATTAAATGCATTTAATGTGGCAACAATATGGTCCAACATCTATCCTGAAAACTCTCCTCACTCAGTCCTCTCTGCTAGCCCAAGTGAAGGCTGCGACAAGAACAGGAACATCCTGTACAACCGCAGAGTAACAGGGAGACAATCAGGCGCAACAATGCTAGTCCCAGGTGTAGAACAAAACCCTGGAGTGGGACTTCGTATCTGGAACTACAGTAGCACGAAGTGCAAGACGCTGATGACTTTACCATACTCGGACCTCAGAGATCCCACACCCCGACTTCTCCCATTATCTTTTGGTCCCCAGAGATTTGCAGACCAAAAGGAAAATGTGGACAACATTCCTGCCTCAAAGAATAGAAACAGATCGAGCGGGAGCCTGAGACTTCTCCTCCACCCTGAGGGACATGCAATGTTTTGTGCTTCAGCTGGTGGATCTGATGGAAAGGGAAACTTTGGAGGACTGAACCACTGAAGGAGGAGAACTGTTTTCTGCTGAGCTGGTTTGCTGCCTGTGACAGCTGGGAGCAGCTCAGTTACTCCAGAGCAGACCCAGGTACTTCCCTGCCCTGGGGAATATCTGCTCCTGCTGTCCCAAGGTGACTGCTGAAGGTAACTGAGCCAAAAGGGCCCATTTCAAAACACTCGGTAAACGCCACTGTAAAGAAACCAGCCCCTTGTCTCAGGTTTGGGCATCTTGCTCTTCCTTGCTGGCTCAGTCAGTGTCCTGCAGTAGTGCCTGGCAAAGACATGTGACAATGGTCTAACGCTGCCATTTCACTACTGCTGTAAGCTGATCTAGGTGTGGATGAAAAGGAAGGTCCCCTTCTGTGCTCGCTGAAAACAGACCTGGCAGGATAAAGGATTACTTCCCAGCTGGGTTAGTTCCTTGCCGCAACTTGCCACGCAGCCCCCCAAAGGCAGCGTCAAGGGCAGCACTGGGAATGCTCCACGCAGAGGGGCGAAAGGAGGGGCAGTGTGACTGACCCTCTGACAGCAGCGCGGTGGTGCTTCAGCTTGGGATCTCTGCCGTCCTCTCTCCGAGACAGAAACAGAAATATCCCACAAGCAAGACAAAAGCCATGGGGTTTCAGAACACTTTGTGTAGCTGACATTTCTCCAGGGATCACCACTCTCATGTCTGGGAGGAACCTATGTTCTCCCAAGTGCTGTGCAGAGGTACCTGTTAAAGTCTGAAGCACCTGAGATGCAAGCATCGGCCCAACCAACACTGGAAGGATCTTTCCACTGCAGCAAGGATGAAATGACATTTCTAGGGAAGGGTACAGGCAGATCAACGTGGGATTTGTCTGGCTTGTTAACCAACTTCAGGTAGCACAGGAGAGAAGGAAGACAAAACCTGACAGATGGCACCATGTGAATGACAGAGACCCAGTAGAGACACATCCACAGTGGCCAGGGTTTAGCGTGAAGTCCCACTGGAAGAGGTAGGATGTGTTTAACAGAGAAGGTAGTCTTTTTCCACCCTCAAATGAAGAAATACTCTGAAAAGCTCAACTAAGGCCCAGGGGAAGGAAAAGAAGTGCAGTCCCCAGCACGCCCTGTGGAGATTTTCCATGCATTAGCCAAGTGTCTCTGCAAGGCCCTTGTGAGCAGTGAACTGCCATCACTGATGGCATCCCAATACCCCTCCATCCCCCCAAGAAACACCAAAAGAGTCAGTGATGGTTTGCTTACTGAAAAAAATAATCCCTTTCTTTTTGCCTGCAGTGGTGAAGGACAGAAATGTGGGAAGGCACGATGCAAGACAAGATTTTTCAAGACAAGCCGAGGGATACGGAAATGAAAGAACTGAAACAAGCAGCTAATTTGAACGCAACACAATCGGCTTGCTTTTCCAAGATCCACTCGTTTCTCTTCAGGCATTAGGGTATATGAAAAACAAGATGGCACATTTCTAAATTACTTGCGTGTGGCAGCGGGTCTCCTAGAGGGTATGAGAACTGGCAGTCTACAACCCCATGCCAGGATCTTCAAGAGGAAAGGACACTGATGAACGGGACATAAGCAGATACTAGAACTCAAGCACATAAGCTCTCTGGGTAACCAAGAACTCGGCGTGCTGTAGTAACCGAAGAGAATCAATCTCTCCTACCCACAAAACCACACACAATTTTCCTTCCTTGTTTATCAGAGAAATCCAAGTGGGAACCAGTGATAAATCGAAAGGGGTAATATCTTTACTTTAAAAATATTACAGTCAAAGAATAGCTATTTTTCTTGTGGTAAAGAGGCTTCTTCTTAAAGAACTGTGATAGCTTCAAGAGTGAGAAATTCAGAGGAAGGCGGCTGTGGTTTGAACAGTTTCCTTGGCATGCCTGAGGTGCAAAAGCCTACGAACAAAGCGTTCTTAGGAGTACAGAATTTCTTCTGTTCTGAAATGAATAGACATCAGGGTCCTCCAAGGATAAGTCCCCTACCAATAGCACCCTTCCATACCTATCTGATTTTTTTCATTTCTAGAAGGATGTCGGAAATGATGGAGGTGAGCAACTAAAATCAACAGCCTTTTAGCTTGCCAATGTAAATAATCCAAGTCTTTACGAAGGGCTTGAGAGTGATGATCTGCTGTCTCAGAAGTGGTTGGGAGGGACTCTGCAGTCTGCCACGGGCCCACGGCTAGATCCAGAACATCTTCATTCATGGACCCTGGGGGAACTGGAGCAACAGGGTGAACAATTCGTGGACCTTGTGCCTGTATCGTTTCAAGAACACTTCTAAGCTGGTAACCACAATTTTCAGGAAGTGACAGTAAAAGGTACAAGTCATGCCTTCACTGGGAAATGCCTGGCGTTGTAAGAAGAGGACCTCCTCCCAGACGAACGCTTCCCCTCCAAAGCAGAGGAGAGGGATGGGCAGCTCTGGGAATCTGGAAGTTCAAGACTTCTACACCTTGAAGGGATAAGTATGTCCTCTGCCTTCCTTGGTTTTATCTTGATGACTGGTTAGCAGGGGAGTAACAAGAGCTGCTACAAGGATAACATGCTCCGGGATCGATACCCAAAGACCCTCAGGAATCACCAGCAGCACTTGGAGTCTAGTCTTGCACGCTGCGTTCAGCCTTCTTGGAGGGATCCACACATGCAGCTTCCCAAAGAAAAAGTCCCTTTCAGGAGCGTCTCCCAGCAGGTGACGTTACGGCAAGATCTCTATCTAAGACGTGAGTTGGGAGGGACACAGACAGACCTGAGTGAATGATGTGTCGTGACCTAGCATTACCTCTCTCTGCTCTGCTGCTGCAAACGAAATGGCATAGGCTGCACTCACCTAGTACAGAACTGCTGTAGAAGTCCCATGCTGTTCGAGGATCTCCGTCAGTGCGCCCCTGGAGATCCGAAAGGTAATCTAAAGAAAAAAAAATTGAGGGGGTTAATGCTTATTTACTGGTCAAAGCATGATCCTGGCATGCATATCCATTCATCCTGGGTGAGCCACTTCACCTCTGCTGCTTTTCCCCACTTTGCAGTCAGGCATTATGGCAAAAGCTGACCCATAACTTGCAAGAAGGGTACCCGCACTCAGGAGAGGACAACATGATCCCAGGCCTGAGGACGTGAAATAGAAGCTGAAAAAGGAAAACAACTGACAACACTAAGTAGGTTGGAAAGAAAGGTTCTTAGGGTTGTCTTGAGTTCAAAATTACATCTCCAACACCTGCATGTTCAGTTGAGCCTTGAAGAGCACAGACAGACAGCTGGCAAACAAGATTTCTTCAACACTGGAGATTTTCTGCTTTCTATCTATCTGGGAACCACCGCTACTCTAGCTGTCTCTTCCTTGCTGTTGTGTAGAAGCCACAACACTCATCTTGCTTCTACACAAACAGTGCAGAAAGTGGGCACGCTTCACTCTTGGTCATAGGGATCCAAAATGGTCCTTTCCAATAACGGCAGACAGGCAGCATTTGGGCAGAGCTGTTTTCGAGTAGAAGGCATCATTACTTGGCAGCAAAATTATGTTCACTTAGGTTATGCAGTAGAACCGGGAACTGCGGAACAGTGTCTCCACGCCTCATGCACAGCACTGTCTTTAGTTGTGTGACCACAGCATTGCCATCTCCTTGCACATTAAAGACTGAAAAGTGACCTGTATCTTATTTGGAAAACAATATACAAATCTATAATTAAAGATTGGGTGGTAAAAACACACACGCATGACAGGACAGAGCTAAAATTATTCAGTCACCTGCTGCTCAAGCACTTCTAAACCCTTTGACACCCAGCTTTGGTCCCGTATGCTGCCAGATAGGAAGGATGGAAACACTGCCACCCCCAGGCCTGGCACCTACCACAGAGGAAGCGCTTCATCACTTCACTGGTGGCCAGCTTCACAGCTGTCTGCCCAGAGTAAGTGGCCAGAGTGGGATCAGCACCATAGGAGAGTAGAAGCCACATGGTTTCCAGGTTGTCATTTGCTACTGCATCGTGGACAGGCCTGCAAGGACAGAAGCATTGGCAGAAAAAGAAGGGACTGGAAGAGTTTGCAAAGCAAATGCTCTGTTTTGGGTTAAGACAAATCCAGTGATGACCTACAGCTCATCCTGAAAAACACGCCCTGCTCCCTGCCCCCACACTTCTCAGTGCTTCCCCAGGTGCTCCCCTCTCACTGGCTTGCCTTGTGCCATCCTGCGCACTGCAGTTCACGTTGGCACCGTGCTCTAGCAGAATGTGGAGGATGTCGATCCAGCCTCGTGCACAGGCTTCGTGCAGAGCTGTGTAGCCAGCGTTGTCACGATGGTTCACGTCACTGCTCTTTTTCTGCAGGCAATAGAGCACTACATCCTACAGGAAAGATCATTGCAGGCCTGGTTACACACAAACGCAGACAAGGCAGCGCAGGGGACAAAGCAGCAAAAGGCACCAAAACTCACCTTGTAGCCCAGGCGAGCTGCTCGCTGCAGAAGGGTCTCCCCTGCATTTTTGTTCACAATCAGCCGCCGAGCTCCAGGAGGAATGTTCTGGGCCATCGGCAATTCAGGGGAACTCCCTGGGCTGACCCGACGGGACTTACAAAGTGTCCACAAGTCCTGGGGCTTCTTCAGAGGGTTCATTTTGGGCTGGTTCCAGCAGCCTTTCCCCTGGAAAAGAAAGGAATGCAACTCCTTGGCACATGTGGCCATGGCTTACTAACAGGAGTCCCCTTCTCTCTCTTCTCCCCAGGCATGTTCCCCTCATCAGCCTAAGCCATACCTTCCCCTCGTCACAGATCCCTGCCAGGTGTTTGGTTTTACATTTGCGTTTTCCTGATGGTTTCTCTAGCTCTTCTTGGACGGGAGAGCTGTCTGAGTGCTCCAGGAAAAAGCCATTCCGAAAGTCTGGGCGTCCTTGAGATTTTCGGGGGGATGGGGAAAGCCTGCTCCTCAGTCGTAGCTCTGTGCCTTTACCCTGCACAGACTCCTTCTGCTTCCGGTACCTAAAATCTAAAGGAGAAATAGGAATGAGGAGCTTCTGTAGGTACAGCACCGAAGGCCAGCAACCCAGATCTCTGCCACCAGGCAAACCAAACTGCCCATCTTTGATGGCTGCTCATCCAGAAATCCAGACCCACGGCGGAGACACTCCAGTAAGTAAAAGCAGAGTGAATCTGCAGATTCTACCCATCAGGGACGGACTCAGCATGGATACAAGATGCCCAAACGACAGTCAGCCATCCTGGTCTGGAAAGGCCAAGCCTACTGAGAGCTGGGGCTTGCACACAACTGACTAAGGCTTTTACTTAGGTCTGACAGGGAATCCAGTACGAAACAGTCCAGCTTGTCAGCACGCTTCCCAGTAGTTTGGTAACTGCATGCTGCCATACGGTGCGCTCCCCTACCTGCAAGGCTGAGCAGGACTCACGTGGGATGCCCCTTGAGAGACAGAAAATGCAGGAGGTATCCCCTTCAAGATGCCAGTGAACAGTCATTGTTTTGCTGCCTACAAAACCAGACCCTGCCTTGCCCTCTCACATCTTCCCCTTAAGTTAAGTAGCACATTAAAGTTTCAATTAATATACATGCAGGTAGGAAGTACCAGGATGCCTCAAGGGAAATCCAGTCTTTTCTTCCTTGCATTATACAGAGCTGCAGGGTTGCTCATTACGGAGCCCCGTGCATCGCGCAAGGACAGGCGCTCTGCTTCTCTGAAACAGCAACATCCCGTAGCAAGGGCACAACAGCAACGGGAAAACAAAGTATGGAACGAGAAAGTAAAGCCCTGTGAACAAATAACCGCCTGGACTTGTACGATGCCGTACACCTCCCTCTGTGCAGATGATCAGTGCTGGAATAAAATAGGTTACAAAGGAAGAGCCCTGTGCAGACCAAAGGACGGAGGAGGCATCTGTACACAGCTTTGCAGAGTCTGAGTCTCTCAAGCCTGGCTCTCTCCACAGCTTTGAGCAGTTTGTTTGGGAACGAAGACTTTGCTTCATTTCTAGGTGAACAGCTAGGAGATGCGCCAGTGGGTTAGTTCAAGGGATCAAGAGGATAAACTCCAGCAACAAAACTTTACGTCTGTTAGGGACACTGCTGCCTCCAGTACCAAGGCAGGTTTTGTAGGTCTCCAGGAGCAGCATCTTCAGCTTCCACGTCATGCTGAGACTCTAGATTCTCCACATCAAGCACCACACAACTTTCATTTATGTCTTGCTATTGCTAGGAAGCAGGGGCCACGGATCTTGCACAGAAAAATGGGTTTGGCCAAAATTTTCAAACTTTGCTTTCTCCAAGCACGTGGGCTGGCCCCCTGTCCCCCCTCTGGCTGCCAGCCAGCTTACAGTGCCACTGTAACGCCCAGGTCCTCATCTCCAAAGCCAGCAACGGCTCTAGGCTGCAACTTCTGAATCCAAAATACAGAAACTCACCCATCTGAGGGCTGAGCAAGCAGTCCCTGAGGGAAACTGGCTTCTGGACAGAAGACAGACACTCTTAAGATGTGTGGTAAAGCTCCTGGAGAAAACCCTCCCAAATGCTGCTACACTCAAACCTCCTTCTCAGGCTCTGTTTGGAACAGGCGTCCGTGGGAGACAGTCTGAGAGCGCCCTTGAACTGCGAAGTTGCCAGGAAGCCCATCAGAAACTTTACTTTTACCGTGTAAAACTGTGCCAGAGCAGAAACATAGCTTGAGAGATCAGCTGGTGGGAGGATAGCGGCCATCTCTACTACTCACAGCGCCTCAGCAGCATCTCAGCCTCTCCTGAGGACTGTCGATCTGAGCACCAATGTGGCAGAAGGAAACAGGTCCGTATCCACTACATCACCTCCAAGAGAAAGGCCCAAGCGTATGGAGGGCTGGCAGAAGTGCTTCCCCCAACACTGTGGCTCGGACATGCTCTGCTGCGACCCTGACAGAAGTTACCTGTGGGACACTTGGACACAGCTACAAGCTACCAGCCAGCTGTCAGCACACACAGAGACATCTGTGCGCTGCGGGATGAATCCCAGCCTTACTTCCAACAGCCTCAAACTGCCCCTGCACGGACAGAGAGGAGGGACCACAGAGACTGCTAAACCTCAGGGAAACGCACATCACAGATTTAGTTTTGACCACATGGTCTGGGCAGTCACGGGAGAAAACGCAAGAGCAGAGGTAGAGCAGTGAGCAGGACACAGGCAGGTGGCACAGCGTTCTCCCCCTAGCAAAGCTGCAAATAGGAACCACAGAGGGGGATTCCTCCATCTCTTGCAGACACTCTAGCTTTGTTAATCCTCTCGCCCTTGTGCTCCCTGGTGCAAGCTTGCAAGTTGCCTTAATAAAGCAAGACAAAGCATAAAGAAGCCCAGTTGGATTGTGATGGCTCCATGTCTCTCTGCTTTAGCCAGGAATGCTGAACACTACTCCCAGGGGCCCATGCTTGTCCAGAAATATTTCACTGTGCTACCTCGTCCGATTCTCATTTTCCCACGCCCTTTGTCTTAATCTGAGGGTAAGATCAGTATCTAATTAGCCACATAAGCTGCTGTTTCCTACTCCGAAATTTACTGTAAATATTTTTGAAAGAAGAGCTGATCAATTGAAGTGGCCCATGCTGTGGACATCAAGCCATTAATAATGATGGAGTTTCATCATTACAAAAAACCCCAAAAAACAACCCCCCCCCCAAAATCCCACACACAACAAAAAAAAGCAATAAAACAAAAAAAAACCATGGTGATCCCCAGCCCGGTACCAGAAACCCCTTCCCAGATTGTACCTGCTTTGGATTTTCGCCTCCTATGGGGGTAGCCCGCTCGCTCCTCCTCTCGCTCAGTCAAATATTCCCCTGTCTGGTATTTCCGACTTTTCTGCCGTCTCCTTTTCTTCCTTTTGATGTGGCTGTCATCTTCCTCCTCCTCATTGGGCTCCCACAGCTGCCTGGGTGATTCCACTCTCCAGGGCAGCTCCCGGGTCCTCCTCGTGTAACAGCTGCTCCTCTCGGACAGAGACCTGTCCCTGGCCCTGCGACTGTGATAGCGTGATGTCCTGTGGGATTTTCGCAGCTTGCGACGTTTCAAGGATGTCTCCTCCTCCTCTTCCTCCTCCTCTTCTTCCTGATCCTCCTCCAGCAACGGTAAAATCTCCTGACCAGTCACATCACACTCTCCTGTCACGCCAGCAGAAGAGCCAGCGGCGCTTCCTGCAAGAAAGCGGGATTTCTAGCTGACAAAAAAGCCAAGAGTATCTACAAGAAAAACCCTGCAAGGCAGGACAGAAGACAGGCACAAGGCCAACGAAACAGGGAAACACTCACAGTCCACCCAGGACTTCCACCTGGGTCCCCTGGCACCAACTCACCTGACTGACTGCGCGTCCGGCTGCTCAGCACCACCGGAATGAAATCCCGAAAGTTGTTCTTGGACTTCTTCTCAAGGTAACCTGTGGGGAAAACTGAGCCTTGAGAAAACACGCCACAGATCTGTGCACACACGTCTGCTGGCCTGGGAAGGGCAGTCCAGCATCATGCTGCAGCTCTGTTTTGGATCCCAACCCGCTATGGGAAGCCACTAGCTCCAGAGGCCATTCAGCTTCGGGGGAGCAGCGGTTTGGCCCCACAGGCATCAGGGCGACCGGAACCGCTGCAGCCTGACCCCACAAGAACACATTGCCATTCACAAGAGTACCTTCCTCGTGGCTGTCCCCGCGGTGCGCCGGAGATGGGAACTCCGTCTTCGCTGGCCTCCTGCGCTTACGCTTTACCCTGAGGCTGTTGTGATCCTTCACTGATCCCAGGCCGGTTCGGCCTTCTCGCTTGCTGAGTTCATGCGGATTGTCATGGTGTTTTCGCCACTGTGAATAGAGGGCACAGACTGAAGCTTGAGCTGCCGACTGACTGAGCTGGAGTAGCAAAGGAGAAGGGACAAAACGCTGCCTCCCACTCATCATGCTGGAGCCCTCCAGCATTTCTGACACCCCAGATCCATTTTTGCTCTAGATAACCTGCAGGCATGGGTACATTAATCCACTGCCAGGTAATGCCAAAGAGCATGGGTGGAAAGCCCTGTGCACTCAGCTGCCCTCCCCTGTGAGAGCTCCCTCATCACCCCCAACCTCACCTGCTAACCTTTGCCATTACCCAACAGTCCCAGCCTGTCCCACTCACCTTCCGGCCATGCACGCTCCGGCTCCCCGATTTGCTTGGGGACTCCTCGCCGTCCTGGGCTTGGCACTTCAGTCTCTTGCGGGCCTGCCTGGTGTCCCCATCATGCTGCCGCTTGGACTTGCAGCGCACGCTGCCCTCTTGCTTGATTTGGCCTGCTCCTTTGAGCTTGACCTCAGCAAAGGCCTGGGGAGCAGTCCCAGCTCGCAGGCAAGTCACAGAAGTAAATGACATGTCACACTCCACTCGCTCCTTCTTGACCCTGCACAGATCCACCTGACGGACGCACTGGAGGGGCTCTGCAGCTGGTGGCTCCTGGGAGCCTTCGCAGCCCAGCTCCTTGTGTTGACTCTCCATGGGCACAGTGGGCACCTCTGAAATCATTCGCAGGCTCTGCTGCCCAGCCGTGGGCAGATCGTGTGACAAATATGCCGCTAACACTTGGTTTTTAGGCCTTGCATCCAACTGTTTGAGGCTACAGCTCCCCTGAGGAGCCTCAGTCTGTGCATTGCCCTCCTTACTGGAGTCAGCCTCTGGTTGATCACACTCTTGACTCTTCTGAGGGTTGTCCAGCTTCCCCTTCCCCTCTTTCACATCCAAAGCACTGTTCTGAAGAGATGGACCTGCATCCAAAGGGACTGGATTGGCCTGTTCCTCGTAGAGCTTGGGCAAAGCCCGGCAGCTCTTGCTCTTGGCTGCAGCTTCCCGTTCCTGAGGTGGGAGCCTGGGCAGCCCCTCGGGCAGGCTCTGGGCGGCTGTGCTGGACTCTGTGGGCTGCACACTTGGGAATGTCGGGAGCTCACCTGCACCAGCTGGCTTGCAGGAGCTATTCTGGTTTGGGGGCAGCTGCCCTGCTGTGGAGATGCCAATTGAAAGCAGGGGGGTTTGATGATAAGGAGACCAGCCAAGAGGCAGAAGCTGAGGATTGGAAGGTTTTCCATTCACAGGGCATCGTGGGTATACACTTCCCTGGCCGGGATTCCAGGTGGAGATGTCCTTGGACTGACACAAAGGAGCTCCTGGAGCAACTCTGCCATGAAGAAGTCTCCTGGCAGGATCCTGCTGTCCTTCTGTGCTGACCTGGTTGGCTTTCTTCCCACAGGGAACCCCAGCACTGCGAGGCTCTCCCTGATCGATGATAGAAATAGGCTCCTGCTTGGGAAGGTGGCGCGGGTCCCTGCTGAAGCTCACACCAGGGTCCTTGCTGAGCAGCAGCGAGGCAGGCACCGGGTTGGCAACGCCAACATAGGTGCCTGGAATGGTGCTGATGAGCGTGGTGTTCTTCACCCAGGAGCCCTGCTCACCGTTGCGCAGGAACTCGGGGAAGATGACTAAGGGAGGGGTGGTGCCAAGACATGAGGTGACGCTGCTGCCCGTAGTCTGGGCCGTGCGCTGGGACTTGGACAAGACTGTGGTGAGAAGCGCTTTGCTGCTGGTGTGCACAGGTGTGAGGATGGGCATAGGAGGTGTTTTGCGTTGACTGGGTGGAGGCAGTTTCTGACGATTGGACTTGGAGGAGAGATCGAGAGGCATCTCGCTGCACTCTGGAGAGGAGACCATCTCACGCTCTAGCTGTGGAGGGGACTTCAGAGGAGAGAGTGAAGTGGCAGCCCCCGGTGCGTGCGGCTCGGGAGCGGCCGGGGCTCTGGCATGCGCACCGGTGCCAGAAGAGGGAGCAGCGCTCCCACACGATGCTGCCAGCGGAGGCTGGCTGGATGAGAGGGAAGGGCCAGCGGTGGACGGGGGAGCGCCCTCGGCAGCAGCCTGGGCACCGCTTCCGCCTGAGGGCGAAGGGCAGCTAAGCTGATTCACCTCCACAGACACCACTTTGGCGTCTGAAGCCAAGGGTCTGGTGACGGAGAAGGTGTAGGGGTAGGAGCGCAACTCTGGGGAAGCGATAATGCCCGGCAGGCAACGCTCGTGTAGGTAGGAAGGCAGGACGGGGAGGGTGAGTGTGGAGGAGACCCCCAAGGTGGCTGGAAGTGTAGCCACGCTGAGCGGCTGCCCGCAGCTGGGTGGTGGGATGTACACCAGCGACTGGCTCGGGCTCAGAACTGCCCCAGCCTGAAAGGACAGGGGCATTTTTTGCATAGCAGGGGCCTGAGATGTGGGAAAGCACACTCTGTTCAAAGTAAAAGTAGCAGGAGTGGAGGCAGAGGTGTTGCAGCTGGAGACAACCACAGACAATGTCCCTTCTGCCAGCACGCCTGGCCCTTGTGCTCCAGTGCTTGGGGTGGTTTTCTCCTTCCCGGCAGGCTCGATCTCTGGAGCCACGGAGCAGGCTGGAGGAGCATCAGCCTGCTTGTCACTGTGAGGATCTGCAGGTGTCCAGGCAGCATCAGCACCACTGCTCTCCTGCTCGGCAGCTCTGGGGATTGCGGGCTCCTGCCCTCTGCCATCCCCCTGGCTTGCCAGAGGGCCCAGGGCATCATCTTTCACAGTCTGTCCCGCACACTCTGGGTTTGGGTTGGGATCAGGTGGCTGCTCTTCCAGTTTGGGCCCAAGCTTTTCCTCCACCTTGCCATCAGCATCCAGCCCCTGGGCACTGCTGCCACCACCGCTGACTGCTGTGAGCTCCACCTGCAACAAGAAGGGAGAAGGTGTTTCTGAGAGCTGTGCAAGTGGCTCCTAGCGAAGCAGGCAGGACCTTCTCTCTAGCCCCCCCACAACACAGAGGTAGAAGTGGCAAACAGCTCTTGCTGAACTAGAGCGCTGTTTTGCCCTTACTGCACCTAGGTGCACCCCTCTCGAGAAGGAGCCCACGGGACCCATTAGGGTAGATGCTCTTGCTTGACCCGTTCCGTCAGGGAAAGGCCTTCTTGGACCCAGACATGCACGCAAGGAGCTCACCTTGGAAAGGCTGCTGCTGACGCAAAACTCTTGAGACCCCAAGTGCTGGGAGCTGCTCGTTTTAGACTCTTCATCAGAAAGGGGGGCTCTCCTAGCCGAGGAACAAGACACAGCATTACGAAACCCCAGGATACCGTCCCAGCATCCTACCCCTCCCTGTCCCCGCATGGGACAGCAGAGCGGCTGGCAGCCTGAAGAAGCGTGCCTGCTTCAGGTAACCAGCTCCTCATCATCACATGTTACATGGCGGGTACTGGCCACTGCAGACTGAGGGGGTGAGGAGCACTCCTGTCCACTGCATTCCTCCCCCTCCCGGAGCTCTGCCCACTGGATAGCACCTCCTCACACATAAATGCTTACCCTACAGCTCCTACAGGCCTGACAATGGCTCAGCAGCTCTGTGCACCTTCCTTACCCACGGCCATTTTGACCCCCCCAGGTCTCACCACAGGCCAGCCCAGCCCTCCCTGACTGGCACCTCCTCACACATAAATGCTTACCCTACAGCTCCTACAGGCCTGACAATGGCTCAGCAGCTCTGTGCACCTTCCTTACCCACGGCCATTTTGACCCCCCCAGGTCTCACCACAGGCCAGCCCAGCCCTCCCTGACTGTGCTGCATCACAGCCCAGCTCCACACACCGGCTCCTGTCCCCTCCGCTTCCCGTTCTGCCCCACCACACGTTTCCAGTCCCATCCTCCTCTGAGCCCCATCCTGCTTGTCTCTTCTTCCACAGGCACCTCCTCGTTCCCGTTCCTCTGTCTCCCAGCCACGCTCACTCCCTGCCCTGGGACTTCCCAGCCCAGCCCTGCTGCTCTCCTCCAGCCTCAGGTGGAGATCTCCCTCCAGCGCCAAAGCTCTTCAGGCTCAAGCTGTCCGTGATGGGAGCAGCGGGTGTCTGCAGCCACCCCGGTGTGCAATGTCCTGCTGGCCTGCACGTTTGACCCTTCCTCTTTGGAAGACAGCTCCTGAGCGGAAAGCCTAAATTCAGGATAAGGATTGTGAACTCCACGGAAATGGGGCGCACTGAGAAGACAGCTGTCCTTACGGTCTGTGAGAAGACTGGACAGGAGGCAGCGCTCCTGTGTTCAGTGCCCTGCCCCGGGACACTCCTGCCCCAGCAGTATTTACCCGGTGACGACTCTCTGGTCTTTAAGGGTCATTTAGACAAGCTGCTGGTGCCAGGATAAAACAGCTCGAGTTTAGTTTCTGCTGATGACGTGATTTCTTCTGGATTTGCTCCCCTACCTCCCAGGCTTTCACAACAAAGTAACAGACACAAGCTATGGGAGGAAGCTTTCTCCTTGGGCCCCCCTATCCCCAGCGCCGGGACCCCACTCCAGGCTGCCTCACGACTGCCACAGGGCAACCCCCGCTGACACTCCCGAGCCCCGGCGACGGCCCGGTCCCCTGGGGGGGGCTCCTGCCCTCCCGCCCCCTCGGCGGCAGTTTGACAGGGCCCTCTCCAGCCTGGCCTCCCAAGTCAGCCCGGCCACAGCAGGCCGAAGAGGACTGTCGTTAGTGCGGGGAGACCAGATCGCCGCGGCAGGCTGCGGCGCGGTGCGGGT